ACTATGTTGGCCGGAACTCATGATCATTATCCTATCTTCAACCGTTCTTCGTCATTCGATCTCCGGTCGTCTGGGCCGCCTGGCAAGGGCTGGAATCCGGCGGGAAGTCTAGACTTCCGATCTCTTCCTATCTCTGCAGCGTAATGCTACAAAGGGAAAAAGCGCAGAGGCAAAACGGAAAATGGTAAGCCACTGCATTCGGAGGACCTTGCTCTTCGTGCTCCTCAGCTCTAGTGACTCCAGTGCCCTGGAACCATGGCTCAAACGACCGTGGTCCACTTTTCTCGTTCCGCGAGACTGTAGTAATGCGGCCAGCGCTGTTGGGGCAGGGGTGGGGGGGATGGGGGGTGCGGGATGCAGGGGCTTGGAAGTTTAGGGGTCGTCCAGTGGTGTGAGGTTCTCGGGTCTAGGTGTTTTTCGGGCGTCTAGGGTTTTACTGGTGCAGGTTTAGGGGCATAGGTGTGGACTGCATGAGCAAAACCCCGTACTCTAAGCCCCAAGCTGAAACCCCAACATGGCAGTTGAGCAAGGTCCGACTCGACTCTAAATCCTACAGGGTCAGCACTGGGCATCAGTTGAATTTAGGGTTCAGTCTCCTGGTTTTGGGTTTGGCGTGTTTTCTCTCAGGTTTTTGTGGACAGTCTGGGATTGCGGGGGCTGTGTGCTTAGAGTTGAAGCTGGCGGCCATAACCTTCTTGGCTTTGGCAGACAAAGCTATTGACTTTGAGGGCTTTGCAGAGGCATGGCCAGTCCTTGCTATGAGGATGCGGCTATTGTGATTGTGGCTGTGGTGATGGGTGTTGCGTGATGATGAAAGTGATTAATGAGGAACATAGCGAAGGTGAGGAAGGCTCCATTCGTGACGACGACGGCGCTCAGAATGAATGGTCAGGACATGAGAGCCCCAAAAGGAGCCAGCTCAACGGGGGCAAAATACACTAATTTTAGGGTTTAGGGTTTAGGCTTAGGTAGACTTATACAGTCTCGTGGCGAATATGAGTTGTACTGCTACTAGTTACTACTACAAGCACGTTGACATACATATCTTCGCCAAGTGCCAACTGCCATCAATTGCCCGAGCCTTGAGCACAGAGACAAGCTCTCGCAGCCCAAGGCTACCTCCCTGCACCTTTGCAATTGCAAGAGGCTCAGGCACCGCAGAGGGAGGTTGCTCCCAAAGACGATGCCCGACGGGCATCTCAAAAACGAGAAACCTTTTCGTCTGCGAGGGCAAGGCGGGCCTCCGTCGTGGCAGGTTTGCTGGGATCCTTGATGACATACCAAACGACAAGTCCCTAAGACAATCTGTTGGGATTTGGAGTGCACAGTGGATTGCGGGGCTGGGGTGGGTGCTCCGGTAGCGGGGGTCTGGGTGGACACCGCGTCTGCATGCATCCCGAACTCGACACCTAAAGCTCCCGGTCTCAACCCGAAACTACAACTTGCACACGACGCCCTGAAACTAAAGCGCCAGCCCCAAAACACCCAGCACACAACCGAAAGCCGGCCAACACGTCCCGCGCTCGGGGTGTCCGGCCCCAAGACATCCATCCTCGCGCCTTGTTGATAGCGAAACGTCGCATACCGATGAAGAAAAAGCAACAGTTCAGACATGCCAGAACCAGGAGTGGCAACTTCGACGGCTACAGGTAGCGAGAGCAGGCATCGCAAAAACCTATATACTAGTGTGACATGCGAATGGTTGAGGCAGCACAATAGAACAAAAAATAGGAAGCATAACTAATCAACTACATTAGATGCTTCCCGGGGGCCCCAAGTTGCCTCCAGGTTGCCTTGTTCGCTACTGTAAGACAACGAGGAAACGCTTTCTGGAAAAGAGTCTGCCTCAGGACCGAATCCGAAGACTGGAAATTCGTGACGTTCTCTGAACATGCGCGAACTTTAAAAAATGCTTTACCACTGCGCAGGCAAAGCTTGGGCTTGTCCAGAAGGGAATTCGAATCATGTTCTGGGACTCAGCCAACGGTGCTCGCGGTACATAAGCAACTCAAGGAGTAGGAGGAATGTGCAACCATTGCTGGCACGATTAATGCAGAAACCTGCTTCCTTCAAATCCAGATTGCTTGCCAAGTCCAAACCTCTACCCATGAAAGGTCGCGAGGAATCCTTATCAGATGGTTTCAAGGCTCAGGGTATGCATAGACGTCTCGGGGTTTACAATAGGAGCTTGAGTCTGAGTCCAAACAGTCCAAGTGGATTGTAAGAAAATTCGACAAAGACCGTCAGTCAGAAGTGTTACCCAGATTGGTCCACAAGTATCCGACATAAAGGAGTACTGAAGATGCGCGTTTCAAGCTCACCAACAAAACGATCAGACAAACCAGAGCACAATTTAGCATTTAGCACCAATGATCTTGTGCCATAACCTATCAATGCTCTGAATGCAGCAATAGGAGTTAGAAATGACCGTTTAGCCGGCGAGGTTAGCCGAAGCTCTGCACACACATGGCACATGGTGACCTGGAGGTCCCGATATCTTCGCGAAGTGTCCAAGGAAATGATCATGGTATATTGAAGTTGCCATCATGTCCCCTAGGTCTTCTGAAGCATGAGCATCACTACCCTTTCACGGCACATTCAGCATAGAAATCCGCTTTAGCACGAGACGAAGAATCTTAGGTCAGGCCAAGCGAGAACTTGGCTTTCGTGGCGAGGCCTGGGGGCCAGGCCTAGATCTGACGTTCGCTTCGAAAAAAATCTGAAGACTTGTAAGGTTCAGGGCTTTTGTAGGGGTATCAAAAACAGGCATCTGTCTATTGGTAGTCCGAGTCTTTCAGCATGCCATGACTGGCATGACTGGTGGACATTGGACATATGAACTGGGGGCCATCATGCTGACTGACCAGGGCAGTTGGGTTCAGATGGACTTGTCGCGAACATTCGAGCTCATGCACTAAATCCCAGATCAGTTCTACCAGAGTTGGCGCATCCAGCACAAACTTGGGTTCACCTGCGGCAGGATCCACGCCCGACACCAGAACCAATGTTACTGGCAAGAAATTGGGGGCACGCAACTAATCGCACAGACTCGCCGATTCATTCATGTATCGCACTTATTCATCCGGGAATGCTTCAGAGGGCTTACGCCAAAGCAAAACCCAGAAGAGATGATCAAAGCCTGACAACCATCTCAGCTCAGCCATTCAATCGCTTCTTCCGTCATTGTCAGTGTGACGAACATCAGAACTGGTGCTCTTGCTTGGGAAACGTGGAGTGGGCCCGTGTTGCTAACTACAACAGTGTGAGTGGGTAAATATTCATGTTAATATTCCTATGTACATTCATGTTCATATTTACATTCATACTTATATTTGTATACACCCGATCCTCAGAAGAAGACATGACATAACGGTACTTGCTCAAACCATGGACAGTGGCGATTAGCAGGATGCATCTATGGCTGTTCATCTCTCTATGATCACGACTATCCGTCATTGCCGGAGTGCAGTTTAGGCCAGGCGGTTCGTTAACCTGACAGCGATGTTGGAGGGAGTTCGCAAGGGAAACAAGAGGTGCAAATTAAAGGCCTGAATCGAGGCTCTCCACTGGCACTTCCACGGACTCCGCCGTACATCAGTCGGTGTCTGAAAACATAGCTCATAGTGCAAATGGTGCATCACGAGGACCTGTACATGTTGTCACAAACACTGCTTCTCAGCCACAGCTGGATAATCAGACCGATCATCATAGCTTCGCCACATCAGGCTTGCGCAGTGGGCCCCCGGCGTAAGTATGTGTTCAGAACCCCAAGCTTATGAATTCAATCAGGGTATACACACGCACGTCTATCCTCTGAGTTCGCATGCTGGTTGTCCTTATGTTTCTTCAGATTCCACCAGTACACCTGCATCTGAGTCTGACTGAGTGGCAAACTCTAGACGCTAGACAATGAGTGATAAGCCTGTGCAGCATGGAATCAAGCGCTTCTGCCGGGGCATCCGGATCATGCGGCCCACCCATCCAAGGAAAAGACCGGCTTCATAGTAAGCAGGCACTACTGGTGCTGCAATGAGCATGACCTTCCTTGTAGACACCTATATGATCAAATCTGCCCGAGATGTTCTGCTTCAGGTGATGGCTCGCCTGCTTCGGAACCAGACTATTGCTGGGTTCGGTGATCCTTCTTGGACTGCTGCCATAACTCTTGGTGCTTTATCAAATCTGTAGCATGCCAAAACCAACTCTGAATCCAAAAGCCTCCTTAGCTCTGATCACGTCCAGCCTGTTCTGGGAATGTGAGCGGCCGCAGCTCTTTGCAACGACCACAGGCAGCAAGAACCTGTAGACACACCACGGCTTTCAGGTTTGCGGATGCTCGATGATTTCGCAGCAGCTCCGGACGACATGAGGGACGGAAACTGGCTGAAACCGTCAGGAGCTGAAGCTGAGCACTGAGCTGAGCGATCTGTGGAAAAGCGCCAACACCCATTTTCTGTGATCTGAGGCTGACGGAGGCAAGCTTCGAGGCCACGAGTGCTTGCTGTGGGCAGCAAACCCTAAACCCTCTTGTCCTCTTTTTCTGAGCTTTTCTGTCCGTCTTGATGTCATTGCGTTGTTGGCGGTTCTTGTTTGTCGTGTCGTTGCGGCTGACACTCTTCGGGCCGGAGGTGTCGACGTTTTGTTAGGCCAGACTTGTGTCTTCGGCCAGACGCAACTCCAGACGCATGTCTTGGTCCTCACTGACTGCCAATGTCTGTCTGTGTCCTGACTATGGGGGCTTGGGGAAGCGAGAGCCGCTCGGTCTGGCGTCGCAGTGAGGTTGTGATGTCTATCGTGGCGGTGAAAGCACGAGCACGAGTATGGAGAGGAGGCTAGCAGCACGAAGGATGATTACTTCGGCAAGTAAGTCCAATTACCATTTCCTCGCCGTCATAGCCGGGTTTCTTGTGCCCGAGGCAGTGAGGGTGCACAGTGCATAAAGGCACAGACAGTATCTGTATGTATCTATACTATACCAAGTCCAAGGCACGACGTCGTCTTTAGCGGCCAGCTTCGACCATCTTGGTGAACTTCTTTGGCTGTTGCTCGACATCCTTCTGGAACCTCAAACATGTTGCAAGTGTGATACTTTTGTGTTATTGCGAGTTACGCATGTAGTTGCATGCTACTTACCCATTTTGGTAGGGGTAGTAGGGTGAGAAGGAATGTCGCGAGCTCGAATCACAACTAAAGACTATTGTTGGTTTTGTTGCTACTAGGTCCCAGGACTCCCTTGAACCCAAGGGAGCTCTTCCTATTCTTCAGCCTGCACATGGAGAGTGGAGCAAGAGCATTGCAGTGCAGTTCTGTTTGCAGAAAGATAAGAGGTTTTGGGAGTTTAGAGCGCTGAGGAAAGCTACAGAGAACGACACCAAAATCGTCTTCCACAGTGAAAACATTAAGGACTGACAGCCCCAACAAAACATCCACTTAAACTTGTCAAACACAAAGCGATGGCATTGTGTGGTTCCTCCGCATAGCAGGCCTTGTGCCACTGGCTTGCCATGACTGACCTTGCGCTTGTTTCCAACGCCCAGGGCGCACGAAGCTGCTAAACAGATTTGCTGCCCTGCAAAACACCAGGTTGTGCAGGTGCAGTCAGCCAACTACTCTCCATGGCTCAAGTTGATCATAAATTGAATTACACTGGCTACTCAGCCATGAATCAATCATTATGCTCACTGGCATCCTTGCAGCCAGCGAAACCACTGATAAAAAATACTGACGCACTTGTAGTTACGGCGACGGCGGCGTCAACCGAAGCCAACCCAGCATGAGCAGGCCATCATCATGATCTGGTTCAAGCTAACCTTCCTTTCATCTTCGTTCTTGCCAGTGTTGCCGTGCTCATTATCCCTCGTCGCACCCTAAGCCGACATTTGGATTTGACGCAAAGGCGCTGATCCAAGATATGGAGATGTCGATCATGCAGCCGACGATCTGGTGGCGATGGTGCACCCCTTTGCTGGAGGGAAGGCTTGGCTTGCTTTCAACCTTCGGTCCATACATCTATACATATATATATATATGTCTACATCTATATATATGTATGCATGTATGTATGTCTATATATAGACATGCACAAATGTGTGTAAACTTATATATACATATATATATAATAAAATATATGTGTATATATATATACACGCATGTATATGCATGTATATGTGTTTTTAAGCATGCTGATGCTTGCACTATATGTACGTATTCGTGTAAATTTGTCCATCTCATGCATCTGTTTATTTACCCTGTTCATGCTGCAAGCAAGGACTGAAGCTCGAGCTTTTTTGCTATTCCCCTGACTGCCCCGATTGCAAAGGTAGCCGCAGGTGGATTCTCGTGCACTGTACTGATGTATTCTGGTTACATAGGCACTGTACGGGTGTACTATGAATAGTATGTTTCTTACTATCAAATACTGTCAATACTGTAATGGTGTTATTCGCCAGGGTTCCACTTAGTCGTATGCAATGTCTATGAGGCAGTTCACGCAGTCCGTCCTTCCATAGATGTTCTTCGAAAGAGAAGCTCGGATTGAAACCACCAGTATGTTAGACAACGCCGTGCCAGACACGGAAGTTCGCCCCCTTGACCCTCGACCATCAGAGCAACCAGAGTCGAAACTGTTGAGCTGTGGCGTTACGATCAGCTAGGTGCAAATGACGTCTGCAGCATGGGTAAGGAAGCGGCTCGAGCAATGCAGCACAACGATGTAGAACCCTGGAACTGCGACTGGATCTTCTCACAGAAGACAGCCATCATACCCTGGACTGCTACTACTCCCAGATTCAGAGCCCTCCACTTGTGTGCAAGAAACACTAAATGACTCGATTTCCAGTGGCTGGAGTCCCAAGACGACCTCGGCAGACAAGAGGGAAGTACGCAAAGCTGTAAGTACGGAGCTTAGAGTCGGCTTAGAGCTGGTTAGAATGCTGTCGCTCTTTTCTAGTGTCTTCTCTTCAAAATCCTGAAACATATCATCGGCTGACGCAAGCAAACCCAACTGCAAAGAAAAAAAGAACCGGCCAGGTTCTGATTGGATCGAAACGCCCAAGCTGGCTTTGAATCAGTTGCAGCTCGACATGTTAAACACTAAATCCAAGCTCTCCCTATGCTCGAAGACGTAGATGAGGCATCAGAGTGGCTTGATAGACAACAAGTCAACAAAAGTTCTCGCGGATGGCCGCTCGAATTGAGGTGGTTAAACCAGTTGAACGACATGGAAACCTACAATAGTACATTCCATAGTTCAAACATGCTCAAGCCCAAGACACGTTGGCTCTGCGCACCATGCAGGTCTGGAGGAGCTGACCCTCGGCCTAAAGCCCCTCGCTCCCCCACACACTGCCTGAACTAACCCGTTCTCAGGGGCAAGAAGCCAGCTCGGCTTGGTGTCCTCTGTCTCGACTTCTTCTGGAACGATGGTCAGGCCGCTATCACAGCCTTGGGCGAGTGCGCGGTGAACCAAGGCTCTGCCAGCCTCATTGGGATCTCAAGATGTCCCAAGCCACGGACATGGGAACCTGTTGTTTGTGCCAGGGGTATCCTGTGCAACTTTGGTGCCAACATACTGAAAGCTACTCCAAAATGCATGAGCGTCCTGAAACATCTCGGCTGCTCTGCCCAGAACCCTACAGTAAACTGGGTGATTCATGCTTCGAAAACATCTCCACCAGTGCAGAAGAGGTGCGCGTATCCAAGAAAGAGCAGGGCTGAGGCCGCCTCCGAAAACCATCAATACCCATAAATAAGGAATATACCATAATTCTTATAATTTAGGGCCCTTCAGGTAATGCTTATGGGTACTATGGTTGTTGTGAAGCTGAAATTGAATGAATTACTACTTGGTTGTTGTCATGATGGTCGACACTTAAAGACGTTCACCTCTCCGGAGAATGATCACTCGTTTCCCTCTCAGACCATGTCCATCTTTCATAACTTGGCCAACAAGGGATGGCCCAGCAAGCTACGACCAGAAACGAAGTAGACGATTCTCCCCTGCGATTAATTCTTGACGGCCATGAGTCATTCCAGATACATGAAAACAATTTGTCGCTGTCGCAGCGATCGCAGTGGTCGCAGCGGTCAAATAGCGTGGTGTTGCCAAACAGAAGGTTCCATGCTGCACTGTTTTTAGCTTTCCTGCTCGTGCCACTCAAATCTTGGTGATTGGAAGTACTGGTCTTCTTTTTGAGCCTTGATCAGAACTGGATTATTGGACTGCAATGAACTTCAGAATTAAGCCGCCTCTTCACAGCAAGCCCCAGTCCGTGACCGCTGTGCCGCGCCTTGGTTCGGAATAAGAATTGGGATACTATGAGATTTGGGGCAGTTGGTCGCGGATCTAAGGATCAAAGGCATCTCGCAAACACTTGGCGATGGTGCTTCAACTGTAGCTACTTCTGGCCAATTACGACCGGTATGAGTCCGACTATGGAGATGACCATGCCCATAGCTTGCTTGAGGGACACGGTTTCATGCGATGCCGGTTGTTCTTTCTCTAGGATCCACAACCTCCACGGCTGACTAATGGAAATCCATGGCCTGCCGAAGTTGCCTGCACTCTCAAACAAACATGAACATCGCGCGCGCTCGGGCCTCGGACCCGTATCACCTACGGCCATGCAGCTACATCTCGGACGTTTCACGGCATGCAGTTCATCTAGCGGCACACGGTGGATCTGAACAAGGGCTGGTTTCATCGGAAACGAACAGGGCGAGTACGGATCAAACACCGATGTCCTTCCTTGTTCTGATTTTGTAGCTTACCAGTGATCTCACCAAAGCGGGCAGCTTCAGGGGATGCTCCGCATTTACAGCGTCAAACGTTGGGTTGAAACTGTGGCGGCGAGTTACCGCATTTCTAGCTGTCGGCCTGTTGCGAGTTGCAAACAGCTGGAAAGACTCGGCTCTCCAGCAGCCATCTCCTCTGAGCCCTTTGCGACTGACTGACTTCCGTGTTTACAACCTGTTGTAGCTGAGGCAAGGACCGCTGCTTCAGAGATCGTCTGCTGCCTCGGCTCCATCAGATTCTGTCACTGCCCCCAGCTTATGATCCAGAATGCCTTGGGCCTTGGCAAGAAGCACAACTGAGGGCCTGTGTCCTCCCAAACACGGCACTGTGGGCATGGATCACCATTGAAGTCAGGAACACAACATCTTAGGAAGGAATCTGGGAAGGACGCCCTTATCTTTCGCTGTAAAAATATGGGTCTTGGATTTCCCGCTGCAAGTAATCGAGAACTGCATAGGAAAACAGGAAGACTCAGGCATGCTTTAAGTGGCCTGGGCACACATATAAGGCCATTACTGTAAGAAACAAGCGGTGCAACTGTACTTGTGCGCACCATGACCTCCTCGTTTCTCTCTGGCCCATCTCACGCTGCACTGTGGAACCCGACTTGAAACTTAGTGGCAGAGTTGAAACTCGACTCCATCAAAACCAGGGTATCGATGTTGCCGCACCTTCGAAAGCTTGCTTCGGCCCAGTCACTGCCTAGCTGACACCAGGTCGTGGAAGGATGGCACGATGCCGGACCTTCGAGAACTGGATTTCGGGCCAGGACGGCTGTTTGATGATCATTCTGTGACCATAAGGACAACATGAAGAGGTAACAGTAGTAGCAGTACTAGTAGTAGTA